GAAATATGAGAAAGACTAAGATATCAGTTCCCAAAGAAGACCAAAAGTATTACAAATCTGAAATGGTTTTCCTCTTCTTAATACAACAATGTTCTCCCACTTTTTGGCACACACTAGACTACAGCGTATAAATAGAAACAAAGACAGCTGTCTATTTAGTTCCATCCGCATTGATCAGTGGGATGAGTCAGTTTAAGAAATAAAGCTGACTAAAAGCTGGCAGGGTCGATCCACCAGATTAATGCAAATTTCTGTCGTGGGCAAGGCCATGTTTATCCTGCTCTCAAAGAGCTAATGGCTGCCCAGGGCCTCATGTTAGGGAAATAGTTTGAAAATTTACGGTGGACTTTGGAAAAGGTCAGCAGTGAAATTCACTTATTTAATGGATAACAGGCCATGACATGTAAATTCACCTAAATGTTGCCTATATTGTTCAATTAAACTTTATTACCATATATTTCCCCTCAAGTTAAACTGTTATCCTTTGTGTTCATTTTTCTTTGACAGTGAAAGTAGAACAGAAATGAGATGAATGTGTTCTGTGTGACTTTAAGGGGCCCCCAGTTTGAGCGGACATCAGCGAAAATCCGGCTTCCTGACGACTGCACGGTGGGCTTCATTGTTGAGAAGAGACTGGGCATTTCCATGGTCCACTGTCCCTTATTCCATTCTCACCTGGAAAACCTACTACTCATAGGCCAAAGGAGCATTCCACAGCAGGTACTATAGCAAATAGACGTGTTGGAGGCAGAGTTACTTTTGTCTTTGAATTCTCTCCCCAGCTTCTTGGATTTAAAGTTTGAAATGAGACCGTGCAGATGTGCATATTCCAAACTTCAGTGGAAAGTTATTTTAGTAAATTCCAGTTTCATGCATACACTATTTTTTTTACATCGATCTCTTCATATCAGGGCACCATAATGTTTGGGACATAGTGATGGGAGGTACAGCTAGAGGAATTTTGAGAACCTCTCATGTTGCCTAAGCAGAATGTATGAATATTATCTTGCTGCCATTTGCAGCTACATTCAAGAAGATAAGCATGCCAGTACTTGAGTCTTAACATCCCCCAAATGCTTTTTCAGCATACAATCCAGTGTGCTTTAAATCTTGGGTAGTTCCCCCACACTTTCCTTCTGCCCTCACTCGGACACAGCGTGATCTTAGTCTTGTTATTCCAAAACATCCTTCTTGGTTTGTCAGGCTTTTAGTAACAGGTGTTTTAGGATGTGTCTTTTCCACAATAAGGATCACACGCTGCTTTAATCACATTTCAATAATCTGAATTATAAGTTTACATCAAGAAGCATTGGGGGAACTGATGAATACATATGACTTCATCCCCAACATTATGGACACTGTACACATAAAATACATTTGGTTTCCCTTTCGCTTCCTGTCTTGTGTATTATCTGCAGGTAACACTGAGCTATGGGATATTTGAGAACAAGATGAACAGCATTGAGGTGAAAGGAAGCTTCTCGAAGGAGGACGATCCATCTAGGTTTGTCTTCTTCTTTCAATATTTTGTAGATGAGCAGATATTAGCAATGCATTCCCTCTCAAAATGACATGTTTAGTGGATTGTTTGTGTTTGGTGTGTTTTCTGAGAAATCCTAACATTTAATGTGCACTACTACAGTATGCTTGAGCTGGATCATATTGTTTGAAAGTGTCACACATTGTGTTGAAAATGATTATTATAACTTTGTCCATGCGCCTTGCTTGGATGCTCTGTGCAGTCTTGCAGTAAATATCCTGCATGTACTGTGGCATCCTCGTGTAACAATTATGAGTAGATCTTAAGGGAGATGTGAGCACTATTCGATTCTAAAGCGATTTATCAGTGAATGGTGGCAAGCTGTCGTATATTAATCAGCTTTATGTCCTCACAGATATGCAGGATTTCACAGGCTGTAAGAATTAACATGACACTTCAATGCTGTGCACATTAAAAAGGAAATTTCTTAGATGGCCACTTGAAAAATAAATCATAACTACTCCTGTAATCAGTGTACGCTCTCAGTTGGTAAAGCTCATGAGAATACTAATATAGTTGGATTCCTTGTCCTTTGTGGGTTATGTGGTGCTGTACCAGTTCAAAACTAACCTCTGGAGTTCTGCCCCTGTTCACACACGTAGTAATAGTGTTTACTGTCAGGCCAAAGGTTTTTGACCCTGGCTCAGGGGAGCCCTGCTCAAACCCCAGCAGTGATGCAAAGATACTATTGATTCTAACAACCACTCTGTTGCCCACTTTCAGGCTGATTGGATGATCACTGCGTTCCACCAGATTTATATTGTTCTTTTAATTTCATCATTATTACGATTTTTCACATTTTTTTTGCTAACAGTGTTAAATTGAATTGTATTTGTTCTATTGAAGGAATGAGGTTAAACACAGGAAAACCCTAAATGAGTCTGCCCCACCGGGTTGATTAAATGTGTGTGCCTCCCCCTCCCTTAGGCAGGATTTTCACAGCTGTTATCTGTAAATGCGTGAGGGGAAGTGCTTGCTGTTTAGACTTATCATAACAATTAGCCCCAAGATCATTTAAGTAATTTGATTGACTGACACCTCCACAGCTTCTGCCTAACCTTCCACCCCAAGCTATCCACAGCTCTTAAAATGTGCATGAATGAATCCTGCCTTAGGATGAGCGGTTCATTTTAATGTTTCTGCTGAACGTGCCTCATATCTGAACCAGTAGCCTCTTGGTTTCTGGGAATGATATGTGTAGAAATGGTAAGAAATTTAAATCCACTGAAAGGGTCGACTAGCTCGGCCAGGAGAGCTATGCTGGGAGGAAGTCTATTACTGGCCTATAACTTAACAAACTGATACCTCTTTCTACAGGTTTAAAACTGTGCACTGCATGCTGTATCCTCTCACCAGCTGGTGTCCTTGAGTACATACCACAAGACTGCAACACCTGCCACAAAGCTGGCGTCCTGCTGGATGAAACACCTCTCTGGGATATGATCTGATGCAATAATATTCTGTTTCCTTAGATTAAACAGTTTAAGAAACAAAACCAAAACGGGAGAATTATGTATTTGGACTGAGAGTTCAGTTGTGAACTGAGCATTCAGTTCATGACATCACATCAATCACATTACCTCCTTAACAGGGACAGCTGAAAAATAACTAATTCTTATTGTAAATTGTTTAATCACTGAATTGAAATCTTTATGCTTAATGTGTAACTCTTGATGTCATTACTACTGAATGATTGTATAAGTTTAGAGTATTTTTTCTGAGACCGAAGCACTTAAAGTAAGGAAGATTAATATTTTTTCAAGAATCTTTACTTAAATGTTGTTGTTTTGTTGATAAACGGCTAAAAGAAATTCTACCTTATTTAAGCTTTCTTCTCTTTTCATTGTCTTGTTTTTTCTTAATGACGGGTAATTTATTTCTTAAATGTAATTGACTATTTCCTACAAAATCTTTAAACGAGTCGCACTTATAGGGCATGGACTACAGGTGGTTTCTGAGTTCATCTGAGCTTTTACACACTGGCTAAGTGCGGTTCTGTGTGCTGCTATGAAGGAGCTGTTGTCCTTGCACCTGCCGTTTGGAATCTGCGCACACTGAACCATCTTGATACACATCTCTCTCCTAAGCCGAAGCTCTCTGCCTCCCTGTTTTCTCTCCTTATAGTCCTCCTCCACCCCTCCATCTGCCCTCTTTCCAGCCTCATCCTCTCTCATTCTCCCTGTTTAATTAACATTGTCCGCAATTGTTGTGTTCCTCGAAGGCCAAATATGCAGATAGAAGACGCTTCAACTCATCCCTTTTTTGTCTCTGTAGCATTCGATTATTTTTTCATGCTTCAACTTTAAACGGCAAACCATTTAAAGCATGAAGAAAAATCACAACCGACATGCCTGAATCCTGCTGCCCGGCCGAGAAAAACAGCTCATATTTGCAGGGAAATCTCATCAAGCTGGACAGATCCTGTTCAGAATACAAAATGCCACAAAGATATGCACACAATCAAATGCTCGTGTGGGAGTAAAAGGCAGGGGATCCGTGCAGACTACCTGCAGAGAGATGACACTGTGTGGCTGGCTGCCCGTAGTTTGCTTTCTTGGTGTGAATGGAGATGTGATGAATACAAATACCCTGTTGAAAGAATCCGGGTTCTGACCTTCCCTGCAGAAGAATATCACAAGTAGGAATGACTATGTGACTCTAATACATCATACTGCAAATAGTGGGACAATTGTATTTGGTGTAGAGAATATGTGGACAAAAGTTCAGTTTAGATGTCAAATGAATTAACTGCAGTGCGCACAGTGTATGGCTTTTTTTTCTTTAGTCTCATCAAAGGGTTTAGGTTTACGGTTATATTAAATTAAAAGTAAACTACCAAACGTGTTCTGAAAGATGTGTGACCAAAACGGGGTCCACCAATGGCATTTCGGTTTATTTTCAGGAGGTCAGGAAAGATGGCCTGTCTCCAAAAATCAGTTCAAACAGCAAGGGGAAATCCTTTTAGATTTAACTGAACAACATGATTTCATATCCGTTTCAAGTCAAATGTGGCTGGTATATGTAGAAATTATATGTCAGGACAATGCAGTTATAGTGCATTTAGGACTAATACAACAAGATGTGGTTGCTTAGACTAAAATATAGTCAGCATTTGTGTAAAGCTGATGAATTGTGCACTTCGTGGAAGTAATGGAATGTGGGTTTCCTCATCTTAAATAGTTAAATTAGTGATCAAGTGATTAATAATGGCAAATTGAAATGGTTAACTATTAGTACTTAAGGTATCAAAGTTGGTCGGACTGATTAAATCACCATTGGTCCCCACCAGGTTTGACCTTTTTTGGTCATAGTGATACTAAATGAAGGCCTGTTTTTAAATGATCTCATTGAAATCACAACACTTAATACACTTGAATAGCTATGAATTTTATACGTCTTTTAGAATGAGATAAATGAGTACTTGTTCCATTTCCTAGTGACGCACAACAAAACCATATGTTCACCAACGTGCTTCTGCAGAGCAATGGTTCTTGCATTTGGGCAGAAGATTGAAATATCTACCGCTGGACCGTCCAGGGTGTACCCCGCCTCTCGCCCACTGACCACTGGGATAGGCTCCAGTTCCCCCTGCAACCCCATTAGGGACTGAGCGGTAACGACAACAGATAGATGGAAGTATCTTGCCTTCACTTTGGGAAAGGTCACCATGATTTAAACTGAAAGTTTATCGAGTGTTCAAGCAGTGACTCAAAAATTTGCTTTGAAACACCTGAAAAAAAGATTAAACTGCATTAAAGAGTCATACAAGACTGGGCTCAATGTTTAATGGAGTTACTTACAAGGGTGTTTGCCACCTTTTAAGATTAAGGAGACTAATTTCCCCTTTTTGATAGAAATGATAATTTTTATATACTGTTTTTTTGTTTTTCCTAAAAAAGTCTGTTTGCTAAATGAATACTGAAAGAATATTTTAAGCGGTGTTGAGCATGTGAAATTTAAAAAACAAGTGTGGGCGGGACGGATAATCATTTTAAACTTCTTATCTTAAAACTGGAAGTTAATTAACACATTATCTCAAGACAATACATTGATTACTGATTTCATGCCATCTAAATTTAATTAACATGCTTCTCCACAATGAACACATTGTTACGGATTTCTTTCTTTTCAAACTGTCTGCATTTCATTCATCTCTAATTTGGTGTTCCCGTGAATCATTTGATTCTAATAGATTTGTTGGAACAGAAAGGAAGAGGCTTGCATGCCAGTGGTAGAACCCGCATTTTTAATTTCAAGATTGTATATTCAGTTCTTGTTTTGAATTTGGTGTCCATTAATAAGCCAATGCAGCTCTTGTATCCTCCTCCTCTGTGCCTGGCTGCCCATAGTATAGTGGATTTATGGCCTCTGCTGTTCATAAACAGGACCAACTGTGGTAGCAGAGGACCAGGTCAATTGGAGGAAGAGTATTAGAGCTGTCAGAGGAACTGTGCCTCTCATCTCCTCTGTCCATCACATTAAATCGATGGGACCTTTTAAAAGACAACAAAGAAGAAGCGATGCATGGAGAAGGTAAAATGATGGAAGAGGCTGCAGGGAGAATGACAAGCCAGTAGAGTACAACTTAGAATGAACACACAAATGCGAAGAATGCAAAAAATAATTTCCTGAATGAAATAATTATTTTTATTTGTTGATTTACAATATCACTGTCACCTTCACTATCAACCAGCTTGGCATTTTACCTTTATCACCAACCTGTTTACAATTTTGGAATATATTCTCTTTGCTAAATGATGCAAACTTTTGGAATGATTTGAAAGGAAATTTGACGCAGGTATTCTTCATCAGACTCTGTATGAAAGGATGGAGTTCAGGTTCAAGTTTTATCAGCGAGATCATGACAAACATGGTCATTAATTTGACTTCATCCCTATCCCATTCATCTGTAAGAATTTGAAAACTAATGTTTGTATCAAGAAACTATTTTTTATTTATTTT